CTTCCTCCTAAAATTTTCCTTTATCTACATAAGCTTAGTGGAGTAGATTCCTTTGTTATGCATTATCTTAAGTCCCTGGATTTCTCACTTTCTTGTTACTCTTACTTAAAAGTATTTGTTCAGTCACTATTTTCTACCACACTGTGAATTTCAAGAAGGAAAGCATTTTATTTGTCTTGTTTATTCCTCTATAGTGATTGTCTCATTCAATATATAATTTATTCAGTGAATGAATCTAATGCAGACTCACTTTAGAGATGGAAACATGGAGGCCAAGAGAGGGTGACTCATTTGCTTAAAGTTTTGTACATAATCAAAGAAAATACATAATCAAAGAAAAGGTCTCCTGATGACGTGTGCAGTTTTCTTTTTTTATGAATGTGCCTCTACTAGTGTATTCATTCCTTGTATGTATTTATGTAGCAATCCGGCTTTTGGACAAGGTAGTGAACTCCTTGAGAGTAAGGAACCACATCTTCTACCTGTTCTACTTAATATGACAGCAAAAACCACATATATCATTTGAACACTGAAAATATAGCTAGTCTAAATTGATATCTATCATAAATATTAATAAATATTTGTATTGTTTACAAGTTGAAATAATATAAAATTGGGATTAGCAAAATATGTCACTGAAATTAGTTTCACATATTTCATTTTTTATTAACTAAAATGGAGACATTTAAAATATTTACCCACTGATCCACTTAGCAATAATGAACAGATTGCATGTTAACATAACATTTTAGCCATGTTATGAAAGTCTTAACACTTGCAGACTCCCTGTGTTGTCAGTTTGTTCCAATATTTTCTTCTGAAATTTTAATATGGCTATTAGAATATTTCTAATTTACATTATATTTTATTAAATTATTATATTCCGTACTGTTGTATACTTATTTTTCTCATTGGAAACAAATACAAAGATTTGCAGCCAGTATCTACTGCTATTCAACACACATTGTTGAGTAAAATAGATCTGTAATTAGCAGCTTTATTTGTCTTTTACCTAGTCAGTATTACTGTATTTATGAGGAGCTGTACACCAAAACCTCTTCCAAGACTGAGGTGGACATGAAATTCTTTAATTCTGGACTGAGAAAATTCTATACATTACATCAAGCTTTGGGTTTCCTCTCAGAGGAAGCCCCTGTGCAATCCTCTGCAGAGCAATCACCAAAGTTGACATATAGTGTGTGCACACAGGAAGTGGCTATGGCTTTGCAATTTTCCTTGGGACCTCTTCTTGAAAGAGATGAGGCTGATGGATAAGAAGGATGAACTCAAACTAAAAGGAGGCTCTCTAAGTTTCTTTATAGAAGTAAGATAAGTTAAGGAATGTGGGAAATTTTGACCATATGGTCTCCTTTCTTTATTTATCCAGTAAGTTATTGGTGTATTCATTAACAATTTAGGAGAAACTAGTTTATTCCTTGCTCTAGGACAGCAGTAGGGGATCAGAAACAGTCTTTACTTTGGAAAATTCTTTGTCTCCTAGGAAATATTAATAAACATAGTGTGGACAGGTTGTTTTTTCTAGACTAGAGGAGAGTAAGATAGAGAACAAGTGTTGCTGGAGCTAGTCACAGAAGACTTTCCAAAAATAAAAAAAATATCATTTTTCTCACTATCCTTTAAAATTGTGTCTTACTGTTTTAATACTCTAATTCCTAATTTTCATATCTCCTTATCCCTCACTCTGAAAGAATTGTATCTTTCTCATCTATTCCACTGATGGCACTTCCTGTCTTTGTGAAACCATTTGTCATATTCTGAAGGATGATGCGGTTCTCTGAGTAGATGTTTGTCACCCTTACCATCTGACCTGATAAATCCTTCTGTCTGATATAGTAACTGAGGCTCAGACATGCCATGCAGGATCATTCAAGCTTAATAAATTACAGAGCTGGATCTATAACCCAGGGGTTACACTCTAGGGTCTAAGACACAGTGACTATTTCTCAATATTCTTTGTACTCCACTACTAACTGAGTAAATGAATGTGTCAGTGTGGGTCCCTGGCATTGCCTGTCCAGTCCCTCTGTCAAAGTGTTTCCCTTCTCTCATCTCACTCCATAAGAGTAATCATGGAAAAATATATACAAAGTGGGAGGTTTTCTTAATTTTAGTTGTTCTCAGTAATAATTTGCACAACCAACTTTTAAAAAGAAGTACTTTTTTGCTTTTATTGAAAATTGGGTCCTTTCCATCATGATTTGTGTTTGTGAAGTAAAGAGAAACTCCAAGAAACCCACTGTCTTTTGTTCTAATTCAGGCACTCTGCATAGGTGGTATAACATGTGGATCCTTCTGGTTCCTAACGTTCTTTCTGGAGACTGTGTGCCATGGGGCTCAAAATGGACAAAAGCAATTAATCCTTTAAATGAAATCATTGTCTTCAGATATTCCTTGTTAAAAAGCCAGTGGAGTACCTTAACTGATACAGCAGAAAAAAGGAGTGAATAGTTGAACTTAAATTTCTATAGTGTGAGTTGAGAGTGGCCTTCCCTACAAAGGTACCCACAGGACTATTCTGCTTCTGCCTCAACTTTAGGCAGAAACCCAGACTGGAACTGAGTCTTTCTAGAAGTCAGATCTGGAGAAACTTGTCTCAAGGCCTAAACTAATAAATTATTCTGGCATAAGGAAGTTATCTGCAGAGTAGCACAAATGCATGTAAATTCTTTTCCTAGGCTATCCCTAGAGCCCTAACTCTGTTGGAGCATAGAGCAGCCCAAAGTGAGTATATAGGAGCAATTATGGAGGGAGTCATAAAGGAACCTGGGAACATTTTAGTTGGAGAGGCAACCAAGACTATTCCAACTTCTGATGGTGTTGTAGTCAGGGGTTGTACACAGAGAACAATTAGGATCAAGACATTGAGTTTATAATATTATTTTTATAATGGTCACTGGGAGTTAACACAGGAAAATGCAGAAAATCTATCCACAACACCAAAGACATAGATCATTTAGTCAAGAGCCTAAACCCCACGGCAATGTCCTACATGAGTCCAGATAAAAACCCAGAGCTCAGGACAATGCCTCTCACAAGCCCAACTGGAGGTCCAGAGCCCACAAGAAAGACTCACACCAGTCTCTTTTATGGATCCATGCCAGGAAGACCCAAGGGTCAGCGGTAGAAGCCAGAAAGTCTATGCCAGCAGGATGAAGGAGCTGTGTTAGTGGGATGAGGGTTCTACACTGGAGCTGAGAAGTCACACTCACAACAAAGAGCAGGGCTGTCCTGAAGGCACCACAGCCATCCTCAGCAACACGGAGGCCCCGAGCACAGTAGGGTACATGCCAGGAAACAGCATGAGGAGTTCATCCTGGAGACCAAGCAGCATATGTCTTCCCCTCCGGAGCCAGGAAGCAATGCTCAATGTGAGGACCAAAGCTTCTCCAGGAGAACCAACAGCTCAGAGAGCAACTCGTAGGAGAACCCACAGTGCCTCCTTAACACCTCAACCCTCCAACACCTACCTTCTTCTCCACGTATTTATCCTGGCAGCTTTCCTCAGGTGGAGCATCTTCACTCAATGTCATGCTGATGTAATCCAGCTGGCGTTAAGTTGACCACCAGTTCTTAATCCATAACAGATGGCTAAATTGGTAACCAAGGCTCATGGACTTAAACAGAGTAGGGATTAGGATCCAGAGAACTTGGCCAAAGGATGTGCTCTTTTTTTTTTTTTTTTTTTTTTTTTTTTTTTTTTTTTTTTTTTGAGCTTGACTATATAACCCTGTCTGTGATATGAACAGATTATTTACCACACTTGAATACTGCACAGGACCCTCCTTCAACCTCTGGAGGCCATGACAGCACTGAAATCATTAACAGCTGGCCCAAGGATATTTTGAAAACATATCACGAGTTGCCCTTCTGATTCTCTATCATTAGAATCCATGATGGAGGACACTGCATGATGGAACCATCATCTTTCTGGTTATAAATGAGGACTTTACAGGGATTGAAAAAAAGAGGCTGTAGAAAATCACTTACTTTCTTTTTATATTCATGTCCATTACTCTCTCTGAAGGTTGGAGTTAAACTTAGGGGCCTATCCTATCTTTTCTTTCTCATGACCAACTACTTTTCTCTCCATTCCTTGTAGCCAATGTAGAAAGGAAGAAAAGCCCCTGACATTGGGAGTCTGAACAGAGTTTGAATACTGCCTTCTCCACTATATTTTAGATGTGTTTGTTCAGACAAATGACTATTCCCATGTGTATAAGTTTCCTCACATTTAAGTAAAACTGCATAAAAATGAAACAGTGCACATATGTCACACAATAAAGCAACTTAATAAATATGAATTTTCTTCTTTCTATTCTTCTGTAAGTCCTTTGGGTGTCAGATTTTGAACTATGGTTGTATCTGTGCTAGTACTGTCAGCTTTATAACCATACAACCTGTACAGTTTCACATAGCTCCATCCTTAGAAGGACGCCACATCATATTTGGTTTAATGTTCTGCTGTCACCATCCAGAAATTCTTATTTCTATAAAGGGCTTATCATTTTAGTACTAGGCCACAAAAATTTTGTAGGCAGTTCTGGGTATCCAAGAGAAGTTAGAGGTAAAAGAGTTATTCTAGATCCAAAGTCATTCTGCGAGACTGAGAAAGCACATAATTTAGAGTTAATAGAAATAGGATCAATTTTCAGCTTTGCCACTTCTTGCTTTGAGATGTTAGTTATTTAATCCTTTGTTGTCTCAATTTGTCAATTATGGCAACAGGCATTCTGATTAGATAATGGCACAACATTCCAGTATTCCCTGTTACTTAGGGAAAACTTGATTAGAGGCTAGGGACAGCCTACACTTTCTGTTCTCCCTTTCTCAGCATGGAAAGCCAGTGTCTGTTGGAGGTCTGCTGAGAGTGGGTGGGGACATAGTAGTGGGGACTATTGCTGCATTAGCAGACCCTTTCACAACAGCTCTGTTTTGTCATTTTCTACCCAGATTTCCGTTGGCTAACCTCAGCCTTATCTTCCTCATTTCTATTTCCTCTTCAGGACACCAAGGGCCCTACAAGACACATGACCTTTCTGCATACAACATAAAGCTCAGTTCTCTCTGGCCTCTATAGTTTGGTTTAGCACCAGGGAACCCATGACCTCCAAGAACAAGGCACCACTGCAACAACAGGTATTGTATACATTTGCTCTCATCTTGGATTACCAAGCTGGGGCAGTGTCTATAGTAGCCAAAGATGGTTTGCATCTGCTTATTCCATTGCTCTCAGATCTTCATCAAGAATTCAGGTTCCAGGGTAAGACAGATGAACTTCCCTGCTGCATTTCCATCTTGAGGTTTCTAGTGGTGGGGGAAGTGGGATAGAATTTTTTTACTAAAGAAGAATGTTTATTTAGAAGACGATAAAACTTTCATTAGTCTCAGGAGTCAGGAAATTTGAGTATCAACCCTAGTTTTATCACTTAATGTTTATCTTTAGAACAGTCCTTAGTTTAGAATTCAGTGTTTGATTTTCTGCTGCAAAAAATAAGAGCGTTCAGTGTTTGAGTTTTTTGTTTTCTAAAGAAGAGGAAGAGAAGAATTAGTTGGAGGCTGTTTAAAGACTTAATTTTTATATTCCTTATTTTGATGGGTGTTTTCTTTCCTTTGAAAAAGATGAGAGTGATCTTTGAACATATGTCTCTAGGCAGAGCTTAACACACCCAAGGAGGAAAGCTGTTGGTCATATGAATAGTGTTCTCTGTAAGGTATGACTCAGCGGTGAAAGGGGTTCTTTTTCTAGTCTTACACTTGACTACTAACATTTCATAGTTAAATGGACCTTTAGAAAACACCTTCAAATGGGAGATACTAAAGAGATACCAAATGGGAGATACCAAAGAGAGAAAGAGACTTTTCTAAGACCACTTAAAGAAACTGAGACACAGGGACTCTGGAGCCCTAACCCAGTGCTTTCTGTTCTATCCTAGGAGAACGGAAATAGTAAGAGGCAGGAATTTCTCTAAAATTGTCCCAATTTATCCTCCTTAATATGGAGCCAATCTGTGTTTTTAGTCATGGTTCGTATGAGATTTTTCTCAATTCACTTTTCAGATAATTGATTTATTTTGGGTGTAAAGAGGTTCTACAGATGTTTATTTATACCTTCATCTTCAAGCTTATTCTTTCCAATTCCTTTCTTTAAAACTGGGGTAGCCTTTTTCTAAAAAAAAAAAATAAAAAAATAGTAGCTTTGTGGAACTCTCCAAAGGAGGATTTACATTATAAATGAAGACCAACAATGATGTTTCATATACTTTAATGGACCAACAGAAAATCTTTAAGAGTCCCTCAATGTCACCCCATGTAGTTATTCATTTCTTTTTCCTATGCATCTAGCCAACTTTCCTCAATTGAATCTTTTTTTGCTACATATGTTGCATTAGAAAGGAAGATACTAAAACAGCAAAAGTAGATTTGAAAGCAATCTACTTCCAGCTCAGCCTCTGAGTGCTTCCAATACTGGGGCAACATTGTATATAAAGCTTCCAGTCTTTTTGAGGCAAATGACACAAGCAAGAACATCCAAGAAGTTGCAAATACCACCAGATTATCTAGGTCTTCTTTCTGAAGCTAGAAAGTTATGAAGTCAGTGATGACAAAGGGAAGCTATCAATCTGCTTCTTTCTCCTACCACTATTACTCAAACTTGTTAACTGGCTTCCTTGGCTAGCTTCCATCCACAGCTTCAGGGGCCGAACCAAAGTCTCCTTGAAATCTTATGTAAGAGGATTTGGAAAGCTCAACAATTCCCCAAAACCCTGACAGGTAAGTCTTCTTGTCTCTATTCCTAGGGAAGACAAATGAAGCTCAAAGAAAAACTTGCCCCAGCCATGACTGGCTAGTTAGTGGTCAAGAACAGAAGAATGCATTTGTTTGGTTTTTTCCTTTATAGTATATGTAGTGACCAAGGCTGCTGCTTTAGCTGAGAATCACACCTCTGATTTAAAGTAGGTAGTTTAGACAGAGAAGTGAAGGGATGGAAAAGATTATTTAGATCCTGTGTGGGAGGGGCATATCACCCTTTTATATTTAACTAAGAAAGTTGAGAAAAAAAACACTGATTATTTCTTGCTGAAAAATCTCATGGGAAAGTTTTACATTCCCAGTCATCTTGGAGTATTTATATTTCTAATTCCACTCTTAATATAGATGAGCTATTTCTCACAGATCAATTGCCAGAACTAGAAAAGGCACGAGTTTGAAACTTACAGTCTCACATTTTAAGTGGTAAGATCTGGATATTAGGAAATAGAGAAGAAGTTCCAGGCCTGACCCTGGTCCCAGCAGCTTCTTTATTATTTGGTGGTTATGACTTCAAGGATGCCAGTGACATCTGTAAACTCTATCACCTATTGTTTTTCTCTTTATTGCTGTGTTTTTCCCTTTTCCCAGAGGGATGCATAAAGTAGCGAGGAAAAAAGGACCAAAATGAGGAAAGCTGGAGGGCACAATGGGGATGATATAAGGCATAACTCCTAACTGCAAATAATTTACTGTTTGACTTTAACTAGCTTCTTCACCAATATGAACCTTCAGTTCCTTATTTAAAGCTTTGAGTGAGGTAGACTTGGTGACTTCTAAAGACACTTATATTGTTTTTATTCTTGGATCCTTATGGGATAAGGTGATCACATTAGAGAGGGATGAGATGACAAGAAATTTCTGTCATTTCAGGCCCAATTCTGTTGATTAAATTTCTAGCAGCTCTTGTTTTACTTCTGCTGATTCAGCCATCAGTTTTTAACATTTGAGATATATTAAATACTCTAAGGGCTTTAGATGCATTATCTCATGTCACTCTCATGAAATATTTATGAGGTCAATGCTATATACAGTTTTGTCATAGTGGTGATTGAATTCAAGGCCTTTGCACTGAAATACATTCCTAGTTCCTTTTCCTACATTTTAAGGCAGGGTTTCATTAAATTACTAAATTGTCTAGGCTGGGCTGAAAGTTGTGATTCTCCTGCCTCTCAGAGTGTGGGATTATAGCACCATGCCTAGCTCTTTATACACATTTTGTTGCTTTGGAAAATTAGAGCTCACAGAGGTCCAGTTAGCTAATGATAGATCTAAGATTCAAGTCAATTTTTAATGTAAAAGTCTATGATACATAATCACAACACTGTGAAAACACAGCTTGGGAGAACTGGGAAGAAGGGCAAGCAGGGACACTGACTCTGGAGTCTGATCCTTTCTCCAAATCATGAAGGATGAATGATCGCAAAATTATTTCCTCTGTGTTACATAGAGGAACCCACTGATCCTTGCAGTCCCTGGAAATGTTACTGCTACTCAAGCCATAGTATGCCTCAGATGAGCACTTAGGATCTCTCTTCCAATTATGCCTGTTTTGTTTAATTCCCTGTGCTTTAGGTGATCTTTTTAACCACTGGAAGTTCCCTGAAGCTCAGAGTACGATTTCATCAATGCTTCCCTTTCTCTTTCCTTCTAGGATATCTTCCAGGACAATCTCACCATCTCACAGAAGCCCTTGACCTGATGTCTTGCAGTACCACACTCCGTGTATTTGACAAGCTGAGTTGGACACTCCATGTGGTAGAGTGTCAGTTTGTCAAATACCCCAAGTGCGGCACATGCCTAGCAGCTCCAAACTGGGGCAGATGAGATGCAAGAAATGGACTGCTGGTTGGATGTAAGAATGCTCACCCAAAGCCAAGCTTTTCCAAGTCATATTTTTGAGATTTTAAGAGAACTAAAGCATTGCATCTGAGGGAGTTGGGGTGAGGGAATGAGGCAACTCTCTGAGCTCCAGCCCTGGGCTATGTCTATATGCATTTTTTTTTCTTCACACATTTTTATAATGCTGAAAAGCATACAATAATCTTGAAAAAAATAAGAATACGGAGACATAGCTGCTCTTGGTTTTTCTTTTTTGATTCTTTTCTTTCTTCATATTCCCTTTCCAGTCTCATAGCCAGGGCAACAGAATTCTTACACAAGCATTTTGGCTTATGTGATGAAGCAGGATGTAGAAATACACTTTCTTATCACTTGTTCTTACTTTCTAAGTGAACTTTAACCTTGCACATCTCTCCCCTTTTCCTTTTTTTTGAACATTCCCATTTCTTCATGCCTGTCCAATTCTTCATCATATTTCCTGGTCTCACCAAAATTCAATCTCATTTTGACAGTTAACCTACACTTCTTTTTTTCTCGTTCACAAAACACTCTTTGCCTGGGTCCTGGTATGTGTTACTATATCTCTTACCACCTATTATAAACTTTTGGAGTGTTATTGATATATTTCAGGGGAATACTCTTGAATTCCCCATTACATGTGAGCTTCTAGAGGATAAAACTCTTTCCTTGATTCCTGTCATCCACAATAGTCCATAATTTTGACTTAACAAAATATTCAATAAATGTTTAATGAATGATTTATTTTTCAATAGTTCAGTAGCCTTTGGTCTTGATTTATTTTCCATTAGTTCATTAACTTTGGGTCTTCGTGTCAAATGTCACTCAGGATTTTGTGAAAAATATCAAACTGTAAGGGAGAGATAAATGAAATGGAGGTCAAGGATCAAAAATGATTAATACATGCCATATTCATGTACCAAGTTCCTAAAATAAGTATAATTATTATACGCTACAAGCATATGCTAAGAAATCAAATTTAGGATTACACAATACTACAGGGTATATGAAGTACTAGCTAATATTGAAGTTTTTCTTCCTAAGAAATAAGGCCAAGAGCTGGAGGAGGAGTTAAAGATATAGATTCAGAGGGTAAATGCATTTTGGAATTGATTATGCAAGGCTACACATTTACTTTATTGTAAGACTTATAGAGCCTTTATTATTTTAGTATTGCAAATAAATCAGACTCATATGTATAAACATTGTATTGTCTCCTTAGTTTGAGAAGCTGAAAGTGTAAATAAGATCCAAAGTGTACAATAGATTTTGAGAAATGTGAAGAAACTGTTGAAAAGGAATGAGAAACTTAGATGGGGAAAAAGAGAAAAAAAGGAAGAGGGAAAAATAGTTAAGAAGGTTATACTATAAATTTCTCTCAGTTCACTGAAAACAAAGGTTTGTGCTAATATTGTTTGGACAACAGAAATACTATATTTTGTACTCTGAGAAACTAATTTAAAGATAACAGTATGAAATGTATCAACCATTGTTACTCTCCTCTTATCTTGTTATGAAATTTTGTTTTATTTTTTGACTTTAAAATAAAATTTGAAAAAATATTTCAATGTTTCAGTATAAATATCCAAGATAGAGCTATAGAGAAAAGCATTTCCATGCCTATCTGACCATAGGGATATTTTTCCCCATGGGCCATCTCCTGGGTCTAATATTCCATTGAACAAAAATTGGAAAACTTTCTTAGAGAAACGTTTTAGTTTCCTTCTCTTCTGAAGATTTTTCTCTTCCTCTTTTTCTTCTTTTCATTTTTTGTCTCCACTTTCACTTTAACAGCTGTCCACTAAGACAGGTTCCACGTTAGCAACATGGTTTTGTTTAGCTATCCATGAATTTTTGCTCCCACTTTATTTTGAAATCACTTGCTAGAATGGATACAGAGTTGTTTCATGAAGAGAACTGGGCTTTCCATTTGATGGGGTTCCTTTTTCAGAAGCTTGCAAGCATAGCATGGAAGAAAAAATAATTATTTCTTTCACAAACCATTTGAAGATAGTATCTAAGGATGAGGAAATATGATGAAGTTTTGACCACGGACTTGGCAGTTTAAAGGATGGAGAAGTGGAGGGTTTCTCCTTATTCATTTCCATGTACTATTTTGACTTCTGTAATTATCTATAAAGTTGCTAGATCTTAGACAAATGTGAACTGACCCCAGGGGTACACTGGAACCAGAATTGGCAACATGGTAATTTCCCTGACAAGTAAAGAAATTGATCTAACACAAATTACATGGTGGAAAGGAAATATTGTGTACTTTGCCTGGAACAGGTTCTTACAGGGAAGCTTGCTTACACACACACACACACACACACACACACACACACACACACACACACATTCATATACAGAATTTTGTCTCCTACTTGAGGAGAAAGACTTCACATTATAAAGAGGGATCAGAAGCTAGATAAAATGACTTTTGAAGAATGAAACTACTCCAATTATTTAAAGAAGTACAAAATCATAGGGATAATATATACATAGTTTGTAAAGAAAAGAATCCTTTCATCTCTGTATCTATAGTCCCTTAAGACAGTAGTAGGGATTCTTCTTTGTCAGGCTTCCAGTTGACCTGGGAAGCATCATCCAGGTAGAGCTGGCAGAATAACGGAGAATGGAATGGAAGCTAGTAGTGTACTTTTTAATCAAAGATTCATTATAATCCAGCTGGAGCTACATGTGGTGTGAGATATGGATGGCACTGATGAGAAGGGGAAAGACCAAAATCAAAATGTGTGATCCATACTCACATATTAACCAATCTCACTTGAATTACACTTAGTATATCCTATCATACCTGGAGAGAAGACCAAATCAACTGAAATTTATATCATGATGAGATATTTATTGAGCACAAAAGAATACCAAAGCACTAGACTCACAGTACAGAGTGGGACAAAATCCTAGCTTGTAGCATGATGATTTCCAATAAAAGTGGTCTGGCCCTGGAGAAAAAGAAATGATCTTGCACATAGCTGGTCTCTTGAACTGGCAGATTTAGCCTTCTCTGGTCTTCTGGTGATATCTAGATGTCTGATAACCAAGCCTTAGTGCTGGAACATTGCTCTGGTGTTTGAAAAAGAACAATGGAAGACACAGGTAGGGATATTAGAAGAACCAAGGACAAAACCCAGCAGCTGAGTTGCTTGAAGAAAATTATGAAAAATTCACTCTCAGGGGGCCCAACATTGGCAGGACAAACACTTTGGGCTATTCTTAAAGTGAATTAGCAAGGAAAGAGGTCATGCAGAAGGCAGGAACTTAATAGGCAATTATTTTAGCAGAACTTAATCCAGTGGAATATTTTAACAGGCTTGCCCTCAATGGCCAGAAGCTCTTCATCTTAGGGCACTGTTTGCAGCAAGCAGGCTTAGCTACTGGTGATCTGGGTGATTATCTGGTACTCCTGGCCCAGGAAAGGTTCATCAGAGTTGTCTTTGCCCAGAGCCAAGGAAGCTTACTTGTCATTGGAGCAACCAGATGTAAAGGTGACTACTCTCATGGTTTCTGCTGATTTGCTGGTCTCCCTGGTATGTATCCTATTGTGCAAGAGGCCACATCCCATGAGAAAACAATAGAGGATTAAACCAGCGCTTCTCTCCTTTGTAAATTCTTACCAAATAACTCACAGGATCTTGCCTCCCAAGAACTCAGGGAACACATGAATGATAGACCTAAGTTATCTTGTGTATTCAGTGGACCAGGCAGAACTTCAGAAGGTGCCTCAGAGAAGATAGAAAACTATGTGTAATACTGAAGACCTCTGGACTTAAGTCTAGGTTTATATCACATCCTTCCCTTTATGTTGCCTGCCAATTGCCAGCAGAATTGAGTAAGGACGGGATAATAAACTAGAAAAAAAAAGAGGCTATCTTACCTGTTGACTTCATAGACATTTTCTAGAAAAGAAAGAAGAATCAGATTAGGAGTTTCCATGGAAAGTAAACAGAGGCCAAATATGGCCACTGGCTACCAATCAAAAAATGAAAGAAGGGGACAGATAAGAGCATTTTAGTATTTCTCAGGATGTTAGGCTAGAGTAGGTTAGTGTGGAATGGGGAATAGCACTAGAACTGGAACCACTATCCATCCAACAGTCTCACCAGAGATCCTCAGAATCTTTGCAAGAAACTTAACTACCAGACCAGAGTCCATGAAGGGCTGAATTAGTGTGATGTCAGGAACCATGGCCCAAGAAACTCACCTCTACCGTATGCATTCACCCCTACCATATACCAAAAAAAGAGGTCCTGGTCACCATTGCCATCTAGTGTCCATGTAGGATAATTGTCCATACAAGCTCAAATGCTTTATCTGGGAGATAGAAGGATATCTGGTGCCTCTAAGTACTTAAAAACTTTCAATGAAGCAACTGAAAATGCATATATTAAACTACAAAATGTAAACAGGACAAGGCATAGGCCTTCTGCCTTATAGAAGAACCGTGCAATTTCATGTGTTGCATATTCAATTGACCCAGGCTGGGAGCTCCTGTACTATAGGGAATCTGTGTTGTATTTTTATTTTTATTTTTGATTGTATGCCCAGCATCTGGCACACAATAGGTGGCAGTAACTATAGCATTCAACTGAAATGACTCCATGGCACTATCTCCCTTACAGAGATATAGAAAACAGGACTTTGGGAACGACAAACTGAAGAGGTTAAAAAAGATAAAGATATTATGAATAAGGCATATTTGCCTTTTGACTTTAGTGACAAAAATAAGAATAGGTAGAAGAGATTGAGAAGAGGGCTAGAGTTCCATTACAGAGTGTTTTGAATGAATATTTTGACCTATACTTGCCTGAGCCTTGAGTAGTTATGAACCACTTTTGAAAGAGAAATAATCTAATGTGGTTACTATTTATGCCCATATTGATTTGGTCTTTGCAGTGAGAGAGAGACAGAAAGGAGAAAGGAGAGAGAAAAGCTGGTTTTTATTGAGGGCACCAGAAGGCTGCAGAAGAGACGCAAGCACCTTCTATGGGAACAAAGGAGCACAGGGACTTTTATGAAGTATGGTTAGGGGAGGAGTACACAGCCGGATGGGGAAGTTATATTGATATTGGACTGGTGCACACAGAACTGGAGCAGGAAGTTTATTTTGGGGTAAGGGAAGAAGGAAGTCAGTTAAACTATTGTTGTTGGCTCCTTTGCCATTTTGGATCAGCGCCATGATGACTCGGCATAACACACATGGGAAAAACCCATCACATACAAAGACTATGATAAATGCTCTCCTTTTAGTATTCATGAGTTTTATGGTCACTTGCAACTGTGGATCTTAGCCATATTAACTGGTCAAGGCCAGAGCTTATACTTGAAACTCAATTGGAGATATTTGAAGCTCCCTTCTCTTAGACTAGAGAGACCCATAGTGGAAAACAAAATATTTGTGAGTATGAGATGCTTTGGACAAAGAGACAAGTTAATGGTAAGTAAAATGACTTATGCAGTGGACATTGAATTACAACTGGGTGTTTCTTAGAAATAAATATCCTAATTTTCTTTTACTTCCATTGTTGGTCCATGGTTGATAAATGGCTCTGAGACCTGTGTTTTCATTGTGTCACTTGGCCTGCTCAAAAAATTGGGTTACTTTTAGTCTCTTTGTAAGTCCTGGTGAAAAAAAATTTAAATTCTTGAATTTGGTATTCAAAGCCTTATGTAATTAGAATGAATTCCCACTCCCCCATATTTCTCTATTGCTCATTTATGTGAATTTTCTTTATTCATAAGCTCAAATTCAGTTTTCTTTTTAGAGTTACACTTTTACTCGTGTAGTTCTACCTTCTTTGAATACTGTCTCTGTATACATTTTTTCATCTTTCAAGGCCTTGTCTAAGTTTCACCTGAAAGCCCTTCCTAGTTATATGAACTCTAATTGACTTCTTCTCCCTAAGACCCCTTTAATATTGAATATCTTATCCAAGTTTTGATTCCATAATGTTTACTGTTACGAATTAATTTTGATAAACTCCGTGCTTCAAACTTGAATTCCCCAAATAAATTGTGAACAACCTAAGGGAAACTTCTGCTTCATCATTAGGTGACTCTTTATAAGGATGGATGTACTTACCTGGGTACCAAAGATTTCTGCAGCTATTTATATAAGTCTGATACCATGTTGGCATAGACATCTCTCTCACTGCACCTTTACTCTTGCCCCAAGACTAGCTTGGGACTTCACAGCACATAGGCTCAAACATATTGCCAGAAATAAAGAATGAAGAAAAACCAACCAACCATACTTATCACTCACCCTGTTGGGATGTCTTTCGACGGAGTATAACATAAGCCATGGTAACGACAACTATAAAGCACAAGGAGGTGATGAGGATGATGGCAAACATAGGCAAGCCCCTTCCTAGGAAGAAAAAAAAAAGGCAAGTGTTCTGTGGTTGAGAATAAGGCAAGAAACAGAAACTCTCAAGAATCAACCCAGACTAGCCAAAACTTCTTTGTTTTCCATTTTTCCATCTTCTCTTAACCTTCTTACCTAGTCAGAGAGACAAACTAAACTCCAGGTCTATGAGAAAGTCTTGAGAATAGCTGGAGATAGCATGTTTAAACAAGTTCTTCCAGATCTACTATTTGATAGCTGATTAGCTTGTGAATTTGAGCCAGAGCTACATGTTTTACATGGGGCCAAAATATGAGGTTTTCACCTTCCATGTAGAAAGAAAAACATAGTACCTTTGCTTCCTGGCTTTGCCAAAGTGCTTCCTTATTGAGATTTGGGTCAGTTACTCTTTTTCCTCACAATACTCTTTGACAAAATTGCCAGCTTTCTTCTTTTTCAAAATGTATTTCTACTGAGTCTTCTGGAGTACACTTCTCCATCATGCCTAGAAGCTAAAGGAACCACTTGTACTGGGCTTCTGGTTCTGGATATGTTTTTTATCTGTTCTATGACTGCAGTAATCAAAATAATGTTCCTCCAAAGATGCTGACAACAAAAATTCCTTAAACCTGTGAGTTCTTTACTTCATATTATAAAAAGAAGTTAAGAATATAGATAGAAATAAAATTGATATTTAACTGGTGTCAAGATGAAGAAAGTATCCTTAATTATGTACTCAAAAGGAACTTTAAAAGTGGAGGGAGAATACATAAGAAGTCAGAAGCAGATGAACATTTGATGATGTTACACTGTTAGTTTTGTTTTTTAGAACTTCTAATTTTTTATTTTATGAAAAAAGGTAAATCAAATTTCCTAACAAAATAATATGACAAAATAATAAGAGTATATGTTGTTATCTTTTAAATACTTGCTCAGCTTACAAGATATGAGTGTAAAAGTTTCTGCAATTGATACTAGCACAAACTTTCTCTTTAATGGACTGAGAGACTAATAGTATAACTGACTTGCATTTTTTTTTTGCTTTTACGTACTGTCTATTATCCTTTCATCCATCCTAGCTCCTTTTTCCTTTGAATGGTTTCTTAATATTCACAGTATTTACCGCATACTTTAGAACTCTTTTACTCTTTTGATTTATCACACCAAGGAGAAAATATGATGTTTACACACCTGAGTCTGATTTATTTATTTATTTGTTTATTTCACTTATGAGTATGATTTCTGGTTGCACCCATGTAACTATAAAAGCCTCAAATTCATCCTTATTTGTGGCTGAGTAGTATTCTATTGCATAAAATATCACATCTTTTTTATCCATTCATCATTTGATGGGCATTTGCGTTGTTTCCAAGAGTTGGCCTTCATAATTTGTGCTGATATAAGCATGAGTGCACATACATTGCTGTGATATGATGTTTTTAATTCTTCTGAGATGATATCTAAAAAGAGAATGGCTAGGTGTAATGGGATCTCTAATCCTAGTTGCTTTTTTTAAAGGAATCTCTGCCCTGATTTCCTTAGTGATTGTACCAGTCTACAATCCTGACAACAGTGGAGAAGGGTTTCTTTCCCCAAACATCCTCTGCCACATTTGTTATTGACTGAGTTTTTGATGATAGCAATTATTTCTGTAGCGAGACAGAATCTCAGTGTTGTTTTAATTTGCATATTTTGAATGACAAGTGATGTTGAACATTTTTCATATATTCATTTGCTACTTGTATTTCGTCATCTGAAGTGTGTATTCATCTCAGATACCCATTTTTTAAATTGGGTCTTTGAATTTCAGAGGGGTCTTATTTTTTCAATTATTTATGTGTTCTAGATGAAAGTCCTTTGAGCATAATTGGCTAAAATATTTTTCTACTCTGTGGGTTTTTTCTTCACTTTGTTGGTGATTTCTTTTGCTGTGCAAATGCTTTCTCTCTTTTTTTTTTGAGATAGTATCTCACTATGCAGTTCAGGCTGGCCTTGGGCTCAATTTGTAGCCCAGGCTCATCTTGAATTTGCTACAATCCTCCTGCATCAGCTTCCCAAATGCTGGGAGGAAAGATGTGCACCACCATACCTGGCAAAAGTATTTTCATAAGATGAGATTCTAGTTGTTGATTATTTGAATGTTTCCCATGCATTATGGGTTTGGTTCATTAACTCTCTGCCTACACTTATGTCTTCAAGATTTCTAGCTACTTTCTCTTTCAATAGATTTAGTGCTTCTGTTTTCATATTTAAATCATTGATCAATTTTGACTTTAGTGCAAGGTTGATAGATATGGATCTAGTTTTAATTTTTGTCATGTGAAAACTCAGGTTTTTTTCAGCATGATTTGTTAAATAGATTATCTTTCTTCCAGTGAGTACATTTGACCCCTTTGTCAAAGATAATGTGACTATGTGTTTGTAGTTATGCTTTCATCTTCTAATCTTTTTGACTGGTCTTTGCATCTATTTTTTTTTAATCTTGGTAGCTTTGTAGTATAATTTCAAGTCAGGGATTGTGATGCCTTCTGTTCTGCCTTTGTTGTCCATGAGTGCCTTTGCTATTTTAGGTCTCTTCTGATTCCAGATAAATTTTAAAGATGTTTTCTCTAGTTCTCTGAGGTATGCTAATGTTATTTTGATCAGGAATGCATTAAATATGTATAACAATTTTGGGAGTATTGCCATTTTCACTAGGTTGGTTCTTTGCGCAAGGAATATCTTTCCACTTTCTTATATTCTTTTCAATCTTTCTTTACAAACTACTGTAATGTTCAATATATAAATCCTTTATTTCCTTTTTTAGATTGATTCCCAATATTTCATTTATTTTGGTGCTATGGTAAAGAGTGTGGTTTCCTTAATTTGTATCTTAGTGTACACTGTTTTGAAAGTGAAGGAAAGGAGACAAACCAACGCATGTGTGAAGCTTCTAAAAAGTAGAATGTGTAAGGAAATGAATTCTTCCTGAAGCCTCCAGAAACAATGCAGCCCTACGGTAATCTTGAGAGTATCTCTGCAATAACTGTGTCAGAATTCTGATATCCAGAATTGTAAGATAATACATCTATATTGTTTTAAGGTGTTAGGTTTTTGCTTGTTAGTTTTACAGCCCTCATGGGAAAAAATGAATACAATGACATTAGTTAAATCTCTGACTCTCACTGGATCATAGTTTCTCCTTAAGTTCAGTGGAACATTTGGAACATGTCTAATCATTTTGGCTATATTTTGAATATGGGGTTAGTGAAGGGAATAAAGAAGAGGAGAGAAAAGAATTCCAATGTCTTTAAGTTTTTCTGGTGAAACTGTCTTTGTTTTTCCTAGACTTTGTGATATTCTGTCTTAAGACTGTGTAGTTCTCTGAGCCTCCTATTGTAAATGAGAGAGTGAAAGATGTAGGGCAGTGTAGACCAGAGAAAGATTCTTCCATTATGAGACTCAAGTTATGAAAAACTTCATTGAAGGTGTAGAACACAGACACAACATCTGAAAACTTACACTTTTCTTAGAACTATCTTGCCATCTTATCAAATCAAATCTCAATAGTTTAAGGGAAGCATCTAATTCAAAATGAGTATGAAAATTGTTCATTATTTTAAGACCAATGGTATTATTTCAATAAAAATCAACTGACTCAGTTAAAGGTGGGGTTTTAATTACTGTGACTCAATTGGGAATCCTTAAGACTAGAGCAATAAAAAAAATTGCTTGCAAGCTACTGAAAAGTTTCCAACTAAGAGCTCAAGTATTGAGGTACTATCCTCTGTGCCTATATGCATAAGAGAGCTTGTGTAGGTCAGGATTCTACCCCATTTCTGTTAGGGAAATATATTACTATGGCAGTTAGGAGCAATGGGAAAATACACGTACTACTCCTCTGAATTCCACTCTTTCTTTGTTCATCCTTGAATTTGTATCTCTCTCTCTCTCTTGCTCTCTTCCCCCCACTCTATCCCTCTCTCTCTTTGATCTATCTCTATCTCTTCATGATTGTAAAGTCGAATGCTACAAAAGAATGCGTATAATTATAAGTATTGGGCACACAATTTAAGTCAAGAAGGGGAAGATGTAAATCATGAATTTTCCTTTTTCTGGCCTGATTGTTTCTCCAAAGTAGACATCCACTTTAGAAGTTTTGTCCCAGGATTGGTTTACTGTAGATGTTGCTATGATAACACGAAATCAATCAGCAGTCTTTCTTCCAAACAGTTGCTATATGGTAGGCAATTGCAGCAAAGTTTGAAATTTTTGTGGGAATTGTGACTGCCCCTCAGGAATGTCTGCATATATCATTGACCACAATAATGTGAGATGTCTTACTTTTAGGGATTCTTAGCAGAAAGAAAATACATAGAGAGGAGATAATATATCCAAAGTCACACAGAAAATCAGATGAAGCACAAAACATAAATCATAGTGTGCTCTTGCTTCAAAAGTTTCTCCAAAGAAGAATCCTCATTGTCATGATTCTACTTCTTAACTACACTTACCCCTTTTGCTTCCATTCATTTACTACACTGTTTTCTCTGTGTTGGCCAGTGGCCCTTTATTTGTTGTTCAAAAGCATTGGGGTTTTTGCACTGGTTTTCACGATACCATTTCAAATCTCTCTTACTACCATAGAATCCCAGTAAAACTCACCTTCCAATGTGGATTGTGTAGTTGTAGGTGCTTCATTCTTGATGTCAAGTGGCTTTAAGGAATCTGAAAAAGAACGGAGCCTGATCAAGGGTGTTTGTACACTTGATTGAACTGCTGAATACCTTAGAAAATTAGGAAGGAAGTAAGGCCAGTCAGGCCCATACCTAAACTTCTCAACGCTTGCCTTATGATACTGATTAGTCCTGTGTTACTTGCTTATTTTTCAAATAACAATGTAAGTTAGTGGTCTTAAGTCAAGGTTTATAGACCTGCAAGGAATCTGTGACTGAGATTCAAAGTTCAAAGAGTTTGTAAACTTGGATGAGAAAAATATATTTTATTTATTAATAATTTTTTACTGAAATTTAGTGTTTAGTCTATTGGGAAGGATGATAGAAGTCTTACAAAGAAAGCGATAATGGATTATATCAGTGCAAATGATGGAGTAATTCTCTCCAAAAATTTACTCCTTCATAAAAGCAATAAAATAACAGACAAATTTATCTTTTTCATCTTTTTCCAGAGTTTTAGAAATCACCTAAGTATTTGTGATAACGGAGGATTTATGGAAGCAAAGACCCCATTTTTTTGGTAATAGCAGCAAGTTTTATGGCATTATGGTTTAGTCGGATGACTTTTAACCTTAGTTCTATCATTACTTCCCATTTCAGATGTAATCACAAAACAAAACCATAGTGGAAGTGATGGAGTGAGCAGGATAGGCCTTATTCCTAAACAATTATCATTATTTGAACTATTTGGTGGTTCCTTGGAAGATTTGGGTTGAAAGGTTGTTTTATTGGTCACTCAGTTCTAAAAGCCCCTATTTGGGGATGGGAGAATATTGATCACATAGATGCTGAGACAATGAATAACAATTTCAGGGAAAAAACAGAATAATTAAAAATCTTAAAATGAAAAACTGGAGAATGAGATGCCCATATGGAGTTTAAAAAAGCTGTGATGCATTCCTGGGACTCTTGAAGTTCACATAAATGCTTAGAGCTCTGTTTTTTCAGGAACTATATGAAAAGGTCATAAGTTACGACCCCTTGCTAGTTTCATAAACAGAAAGTAAAGTCTATAACAGCTGTAAACTGCTTGGCTGAGTATTAAAAATATGACATAACAGACAAGAGAGTTATTTGGTAAAGACTAGGAGATTTATTGATTACAGTCTTTTAAGAAAATATCCATCCAGTCATTAGCTGGCCACTAAACTAACCAAGCAAAGTCTTCAGTGGCAAGCCATGAAAATAACATGAAAGACAATGGATAATTAACTTAGAAATTCTTTAAGAAACACAAAGTAAAACAGAAAAAAAAGCAAAATAAAACAAAAGCTATTACAGCAAGCAGAGTCAACAATAATCCCTGAGCAGAGAAAGAATGAGATTTCCAAAAATTACCACACTATATTATTCTAAAAGTCTAGTTTTCAACTACAAGAAATACAAGGCATGCAAAAGAACTAAAAAGTATATTCCATTACCAAGTAAAGAAAGATTCTATAAGTAGAAATCGTCCTTGAGGAAATAATATTGGACTTAATAGATGAAACAAATTCACCATGTTAAAATTCAAGGAAAATGTACCTAAATAATAAAAAACTACAATGATTCAAATAAAATAAAAAATCAATAAAGAAAATGATATTATAAAATAGAATCAAGTAGAAATTCTAGAGTTGAAAAGCACAATAGCTAAAAGGAAAACTTCATTATGGAAAACATCTGTTAGCAGATTTGAGCTGGCAGAACAAAGCATCAGTAAAGTTGAAGATATAACTGAAATTATTGTTAGTGGAATAGAGAGAAAAACAAATGAGAAAAATGAAGAAAATCTTAGAGACACACGGAACACAATGAAGAATATCAGCACATATATAATGGAAATCCCAAAAAGAAATTGAGAGAGAGAGAAGGAGAGAGAGAGAGACAGAGACAGAGAGACAGAGAAAGAGACAGAGCCAGAGCCAGAGATGGAAGGCAAAATTCTGTCATTTGATGAAAACTGGTAACATGCAAATCCAAGAATCTAAATAAGCTTCAATTAGATAAACTCAAAAACAACCATACCAACAGGCAACAGAATTAAAAACCAAAGCGAAAGCAAAAATATTGAGAGCAGTATGATAGAAGGCACTTATCATATGCAAGGGATTCTCAATAAGATTAATGGATGGTTTTTCATAAGCAACCATGGAATCCAGAAGGCAGTGCAATGTTATATTCAAAATGATATATTTGTACTGGAAAAAATCCCACCAATCAATAATTATTTATTCAGTAAAACTATAATTCATTAGTGAATGACAAATCTAGAAACAATGGCATACATTCGGAGTCCCAACTATTTGGGAGGCTGTGGGAGAAACATTATTTGAGCTTATAAATTTAAGACCACAGTGGACAACACGCTGAGGCTCCTTCTCAAAGAGAAAATGAAAGTCGAAACTACAAGAGAAGATAAAATGTTTACAAGATAAAAAGCAACAGAAAGTTTATTACCAGTAGATATGATTATAAGAAACAGTAAAAGGTATTCTACAACCAGGCATGGTGATGCATGCCTATAGTATCAGCACTCAGGAGGCTCAGGCACATTGATGGTGATTTTAAGGCCATCCTGGGGCTACACAGTGAATTCAAAGTGAACCCACTCAATAAAGTGAGATCCTGTGTCCAAAAAAATTAATGAACAAAGGGACAAACAAATCAGTGTTCTTTATAGTCAAATAAAAGAACACTATATAGCAGTGCAAATCAACATGAACAGAAAAAAAAGCCAGTACAGATAACTGCTTCATAAATGCAGAGTGTAAATATATTTTTCCTAACTAACTTAACATGAACTACATAAAGCTGAGAACAGTGGCATAGGCCTGTATTTGAAGATACTTGGGAGGATGAAGCAGTAAGATATTGTATCTTGAGCCCAGGAGTTCAAGGCCAGCCTGGACAATATAGCAAAATACTATTCAAAAAAAATGCATATAGCAATAATTATATGCCTTGTTGATTTCATTGTTGTATATAAAAATGTAATGACAACATTAAAGTGGATGAAATGGAGATATTTAGAAATATATTTTATATATTATTGGAATTAAATTGATATACATCCAAACTCAATTGAAAATTAAAAATTAATGATAGTCCACCTGAAAATCACACAAAATTAACAAAATATATAATTGAAGAAGCAATAAATGAATAATACAGCACACTTGTGTGTTTAGGCTTCAAAGAAAAAACCAATTTTATAGTAAAGGGATAGAGAAACATGTACTTTAAGACAAGTATTATAGGAAATAAAGATCAAGTGAGAATTTAAAAAAAAATCAATCCATCATTAAGAATATATGTATATTCTTATACATGTATATTTCTAATAGCAGAGCTTCCAAACTCATCAAGAAAAATGAAAGAACTGAATGAAGAAACGGCACATTTAGCAATAATAGTCTGAAAGTTTAGTACCACTCTTTCAATTATGGACAGAAAAACTAGATCGGTAGCAAAGGAAGGTAAAGATTTGAAAAACACAGTTAGAACTTATAGACCTATACAGAACATTATTCTTAAAATAATTCTCAGTGAAACTTAAAAAATGAAATAAGAAGCATATTTCCAGCCACAGTGAAATGAAATGAGAAATAAACAACAGAAAATAATTTTTGAATAAGAAATAGAAAACTTGACAAGAAAGAAGTTTAACAAGCAAAAATACTAGATTTCTAACCAACTACTCATAAAGAAAAGCGAAAGCTCAAGTGGTTTCACTGCTGGGTTCTACCAAACATTACAAAAATCATCCAGATCTTCACTAATTATTTTAACAATTCATGAGGTAATATTTCTCAACTCAGTATATAAGATCAGTATTACCCTGAGACAAAAGTGGACAAAATTATAAAAAGAAGTCAAAACTAGGAAACAATATGCCTTATGAATATTTATATGAAAGCCCTTAATGACACTAGTACATCAAAATTAACAGAATATTAAAAGAATAATAAAAAATTTCAAGGATATATTTTTTAAAAAAGTAAATACAAAACTAAACGGTATTGTTAAGCACTCAATCACAATAGACACAATGAAAACATTTGAAACAACTGTATACACTTACATGATAAAACAACAAACTAGGAATGGAGGAAACTTTTCCAATCATATGTATGGCATCTACAAAAAAAACCTTGCTTAACATATATGGATACCTTGAAACTGGTTTCTGGCACCCTAACCAGAGAAAGAAGAAATACTGTTATTTTTATTTACAGATAACATGATGAAATATAGGAAGTCTTTAAAGAGATACAAAATAATGGCTAAACACAATAAAAGGTATATCATGCTTGCAGGATAAATGATGTATTTTTATACATAAAGTGGTTTTATTTCTATTTGTTAACATTGAACAAGCTCAAAAATGATATTGCAAAGCGATTCCAATACAGTATCATAAAAATAATACTGTACACCACGTCCATTCATATTGTTGCAAATGTCAATATTGAATTAGTATCAAAATTAACTTAAAATCCATCCAAGTCATAAATATAAGAGCTAAAACTACAAAATATCAAGAAAACATGGGTGTGAATCTTTGTTAACTTGAGTCAGGCAATAATTTCACAAGTATGCCACCAAAAGTACAGGTATTAAAATAAAAAACAGAAATTTGACTACATCAACAAAGAATTTTTGTGTTTTAAGGGGCATATCAAGAAAGTGAAAAGACAATATATACACTATATATTCAATAAATTCTGGTATTCCAAATATATAAGGAATAATTCAACAACAAAATTAAAGCAATTTAAAAAATGAATAAAGTATGTGGATAGGCAGTTCTCACAGAAGTCTGGAGATCTCACAATAATTGACTTAAAGACATTCCAGATAGCGATAGTAACCAAAACAGTAGGTACTGGCAAAAAATAGACACGTAGGCCAGTGGATCAGAGTAGAGTGCCTAGAAATAAGTTTACATATGTACAGCTAACTCATTCAGGAAAAACTTATCAAAAGCATACATTAGAGAAAGGACAATCTGCTTAATAAATGGCACTGGGAAAACAAGATATCCATATGTAGAAGACTGAACTTAACCCCTATCTCTCATCTTATGCAAAATTCAGCCCCAGATGGATCAAAAACTTAAATGCAAAACCTGGATCTCTGAAACTGTCAGATACAAACACGGAAAACTTGTTAAGACATGGGTGCTGCCTTCAGGATAAGTTCCTCAAAATACAAGAAACAAAAGCAAAAATAGACAAATGGGTTTTCAACAAACTAGAAAGATTCTGTACAATATAGAAAACTACCAGTGGAGTAAAGATAAGGCCTAGAAAATGGGAGGAAACACTTGCCAACTATTTATAGAATGGAAAAATTAATACTCAGAAAATGTAAAGAACTAAAACAGCAAGAAAAACACCAAACAATTCAGTTAAAATGGGTAAATGATCAGAAAAGACACTTCTTAAAAGAAAATATTAATAATCAACAAATATATGAAAAATATTCATTATCTTTAACCATTAGGGAAGTCTAAATTAAAATGAGATACTGCCTTACGTCATTTGCAATGACTATTGCCAGAAAAACACAGAATAATAAATGTTGGAAAAAATGTAAAGAAAAAAATAATTCATATTTCATTGGTAGAAAAGTAAATTTGTACAGCCATTATGAAGAACAGTAACGAGAATCTTCAAAAAAATCTAAAAATAAATCTGTTGTATAATTCAGCTGTCACACTTTTAAGTGCATTTTGAAAAGAAATGAAGTCAGTGAGTTGGAGAGATATCTGCTTTCCAATGTGTATTGTGGCACCATTCACAATAGCTAATATATAAAAGCAAGCCAGATGTCTCTCAACAGATAAATGAATAAAGAATATGTGGTATATACACACAATGGAATATTATACATCAATGCAGAAGAATTAAATTTTATAATTCGAAGTGAAATGAATAGAACTGGAAGACATCCTGTTAAGAGAAATAACCCAGACGGAAAGAAATGTATAACATGTTTTCTCTCATACATGAAAATTTAAAAATATCAACCTGAATGTAGAAGAGTAATTAATAGAAGTTGGAAGTGATGTGTGTGGATCAATCTGAGTAAATGGAGGCTGCATTTTGATCTGTGTGTGCTGTATGCATGTGTCAAAATATCACATTGAATCCATTAGTATGTATAAACAAGATGGCATATGAACAAAAAGCATATACATGTTCAGCAAGGACATGAAAAGATGTTCAAAAATATTCATCATTAAGAGCATGCAAGTCATAGCCACAGTGAAATTTTACTTCACATCTACTAGGATGTCTGTAGTTAAAACAATAAAACAGGAATTTAATGTTGGTGAGGATACAGATAAGTTGCCACCCTTATACTGCTTCTAGGTAGATAAAATTATACAATTACTTTTTGAAAGAGTTTAGAATTTTTAGAGTCTGAGCTATTCTACTCTTAGTCATTGTTGATATTGAAAATATGTCAACAAAAACTTTTACATGATTATTCATAGTGTTTGTTCACTAGTAAGGCCAAGTGCCCACAAACATAAAAATGTATAACATCCATGTAATGCTCTGTTTTTCCATAATAAAGACAAAGAATTATTTATATATGTTGCAGCATGAATGAACTTTAAAAATATTATACTGTGACAAAAATGAGTACATAGGGTTACATTCTATGATTCAATTTATATGAACTATACAGAATAGGAAATCTGTAAAAACAGAAATCTGGTTCTGCAGGTTAGGGGACTAGGGGAATGGAAGTGACACTTAATGGGTATTTCAGTGTAAATGAAATGTTGTGCAATTAGATAATGGTGATGGTTGCACAATCATGTGAACCAGTGAAGTATATATCTAAAAATGTTGAATATTTTTATATATGGAGTATATTTTAACACAAAAAGAAGATGGGAGTGAAAGGTCAATAGAATTTCTTTAGACCAAGAAGGCTAAGAAGAATGTTGCAGGCAGACATAACAGTATGCAGTGTTTGAGATGTAGAAAGATGTATTAGAAGATAAGGCTGGACAGGAAGGCTGAGGACAAACTAAAGGACTTTGGACTTTCTTCTTTGGATGGAAGGATCTACAAGGAGTTGCACAAGGTTTTTTAAGGAAGGGAGTGAGCACTTTTCAGTTCAAGTTTTACAAAACTAATTTTGGCAACAGTATGGGAGATTTTCAAAGGTAAGCTAGTAATATATTTTGTCCATATATTACCAAATATTAATTTAATGTACCTTTATGCACCAAGTACTTTGATAGACTGGGGAGTATCCATAAAGTAGGCAGAATTTTTCACACTTGAATTGCATGCTCTAGTGACATAAAATTGATATTCAATAAATGCTAAATAACTCGGAAAAGACAAAAGTGTTTAATTTGTCTCTGAAATTTACATCCTTGGGCTTTCTGTTCAAGCTGAATGTATAATAGTAGTTAATAGAGGTTGAAAATGGTGCATAGCAGTGTAAGTAGGTAAGGAGAGGCTGCATTTTGATCATTGCATGCTGTAAGCATGTGTTAAATATCAATGTCCTCACTGCTTGGCCAGAATGATGACTCTCAGAGAAATGAATTGCTGCTCATATAACCTTCCCAGAATGAGAATTTGTAGGGAGACAGAGTAAACAAAAGAGAATATGTAGAGATTTAGACTTTGTCACATAAAAAGAAAAAAACCCAGTCTAAGACATGAAACAACCAAATAAAGGATAAAACAAAAAATAACCCCTTTCAAAGAGTATTTAGGAAGAGTCAACCATGAGAAATAATCAGACACTGTGTAAAGAGTAAATCCAAGTGCAAATCCAGATTTACACTTCCTTACTGTGAATCCACAAGACCAAGTAGATCGCTCTTTATGTTTCCTATAAAATAAAAGAATGTTAGTCATTTCATGGTATATTTGTGAGGATTCAATGAGGGAATGCGTGTTAGTTCTGAGTTCTTGAACTTTGTACGTGGCAAATATGAGGTATCTAATAAATGTCATATTATCTTTTACCATTCTTATATGACAAGTATCATCGCAAAGACTGCTATCCTTGATTCTGAATAGTGTTTGTGTGTATGTGTCTATGTAATCACTGCTTACCCAGGACTGCACTTCTCCAACCATTCTCTAGTGTAAGGAAGGTATCTTTATTCTATTAAGATGTTCACCTGGAGGAAAGATTGCTCACCTTTGACCACGAACTTCACAATGTTACTACGTTGTTCAGCACCAACACGGCCCTTGGCAGTACAAAAATAGGAGCCCGAGTCAGCCATCACCACAGGCTTGAAGAGTAAAGCACTCGTGGCTCCTACTTTGATGGGTTCCTGGTCATTAGCTTGTTCCTTATACCAGACATAACTGATAGGGGGAGAACCCCACGCCTGGCATTGAAGGCTAATTCTCATTCCTTGGGGCACGGTGAAGCCATAACCACTGCCAGTTGTCACTGTGGGCTTGGAGACAGGGACTGTAAAAGGAAAAGAAGAAAGAAGGCTCTGGGAAATCATAAGGCTATAGGAAACAAGGCCAAGTCATCCTGGTTGAGCAAAGGGCACAAATGTGACTGCAACTAAAACTAAAGATGGCTCCTGAATCAAGAAGGAAGAACCAAACAGCAAATAAAAACATCTTCCATTGCATCACAGTTTTGTTGTAGAACTGAGAATAGAATCCAGGGCCTCATATATTCTAGGCGATTGCTCAGTAAGTGAGCTACATTTTCAGTCCTTTGGAGGATTGGATACTATATGGTATTACTATGTTTGGGATCATCAAGGGTTAAAAATCAAATAACTTAAGAAAATGTCATTTTTTAGGCTCAGCTTTTCTCTATTATTTGCAGTTTTATAGCACCAAGGCCAGATCTTTATAACTTGTTAAACCAGCTAAACTTATCTTGGATAACCTCTTGTCTCTCTTTCCACAGCATTTTTGTCAGTATCTGTCTAGCTTTCAGTATCTCTATCAGAATTATTTATTTTTATAAGTTTTAAGGTCCAGAACTTAAGTAGGGCAACAGAATATTAATGCCATAAATTATGGAACACTTGAACAGGTAGATTTGAAAGCCAGAAACTTTTCCCAACATTTCTTAACTTGTACCATAGGAATGATTACACTGAGAATCTTATGCTTGTATACTTCCCCTGATTAGCACATATTATTAAAAAAAGCCTACTGTACAGATAAACCAAGGTCTCTTGATTTCTCTAAAGTTTCTAGGATTATAGTATGCTATTGAATCTTTGCCTACCAATGCTTTCTTGTTATCACAATGACTCACGTTTCTGGACACGTAGCTCAATGATCTTATCTCTCATCACTTGGTTGCCATCAGGGGTCTGCCAGGTGACTTCACAGGTGTAGAGGCTCCTGTCATCCATTTCCAAGGTATTCAAATGGAGAGATACAACCCCTGGAATCTCTTGGCTCATGTGCAGGCGGCCTCGGTATTTTGCTTGCTGGATATGTTCTCCAGAGGAGTCATGTTGGAAGATGGTGACTGGTTCTGAGTCATGTTGTACCAACCACCTCACCATGACTTGGGTATAACCTTCTAGGGGACCATAGGTACAAGGAATATACACATCCCCTTTCCAGGGTCCTGTCAGGTTTTCTGGTGCCTCCAGGATGGGCTGGCCTGAAGAGAGGGAACAGTGGAAGGAAACAAACATAGAAGGCATCTGTATCTAGGAGCTACAGTGGTAGTGGTAGGGCTCAAGAGATTGAGAAACACTCCTCAATTTTCCTCTCATCACATTTTTGTTTTCCCTGGACCTTTTGTTTCTGTCAATCTTCCTATAAAATGAACTAGTTTTTAGAAGAAGAACCCCTAATATTTTTTTTAGGTCTTCTGTGTTACAAGTCCTCTTCATCTCCCTCTTGCTGTGAAGTGATTCTAGATAAATCACTTTCGCATTATCTATATTGTGAAAAGTTTGAAGAGAATGATCCTTGAGGACTTCATCTACTCTGGAATTTTGCATTTATATAGCATTTTTCTTTTCCAGAAAAGTTGAGAAAAAAATCACAAACAGTCATATATGGACTCTTTCAGTTATGTGTAAATATGTGGCTAGAAAACTATGAGGGACTTGGAGGTTGGCAGGAATGGGTCTTCTGTCTTACTATCCCTTATTGCTCCTAAGCTCTTCTCTGGAAGGGTGGAAGGAGGTAGCAATTGGCAATTCTGATAGTGAAATTTGGTGCAAAAACAGGCAAGGTTATACATTTCTGTTTAATAAAATCATTGTTTTTTTTTTAAATTTGAAACCTGTACTTTATAAGCCAGATTGATTTATTTTCTGATTTCTTTATTTCTCTTTTAGTGTCTCTTAGTTGTCACCAAAGTCACACTGGGAAATTTCATTCTGAGAGGGAAAAGTTTGTTGTTGTTTTTTTTTCCCATTGTGTTTGGGGTAGACTTTCAATTTCATTGGCTTTGTGATCCATGTTGGGGACCACACTTCTCGGAACATTTGGGTGAGTCATGGAAGCATGACTTTAGGGTGTATGTCTGGTTCCTTAGTCTGGCCTCTGACACTATTTTCTTTCTCAGTTCCCATGAGACTTTACTCTGCTATGTCCTTCCACCTTATTGTTTCTGCCTTAAAGAAAGCCTGCAATATGCTGGATTCCCAAAAACCACGAGCCAAATTAAATCTCTCCTCCCTTAAGTTGCAGGTGCTGGGTATTGTGTCTCAGTTACAGCAAAGCTGAATAACACATCCATGTCTGGTATTCACAGGAAAACATTATGGTTAAAACCCTGGAGTTGGTTGTACCAAGGGTAGTGGTAGGAGAAAAGTCAAATTGCTCCCGGATAAGTCTGGTAGAGAAGCCTAGAGGAAAACGGGTGGAAATATTGATACACTCATTGCTGCCCACCAGAATTTTCAATCCACAAATGTCATATTTTGAATATTTTATATTCTATTCACCTGGGGCCAGTAGTACAGGGCTGTATTTAGGCAATGTATTTATGTTCCTCCTGAGATTGTGTTTCAAAGTGTGGGTCATTACTGAATAAAATTCTTTTAGTCTAATGTTTCCATTTTTTTGGTTATGCAGGTAGAAGATGACACATTTTGAATGGGAAGGACCCATGCTTTCTAGCTCCCAAAATGTATCAAGCACGAGGTCTTCTATTAATAGACATACTAAAGTTGAAACTTTGGCCTATACCTCCACCAAGTACATCACTGATATATTTTATCCAAGATAAAAGCCTTGAGTAGAAAAGAATAAACAAACATAAATTGTGCTTCTAGATCCACCACGCACGCTCTGGAAAGTTCAGATATGGCAGAGAGAAGAACATAAACCCACAAATGGGAATATAAGTGGAGTATTTTTATTGTTACCTAAAAATGAACTTTATAACCAGAATTTTCCATGGATAAATTATACCATCTGGAGGAAGTTCTAAGCTCTGTTTAGGTCTTGGACAGCAATGTTCTTAAAGGGCCCTTTCAACCCTAGGTGTCCAGTTCTAATGCACTATAATAGGAACAAAAGTTAAATAATTACATATGTAACTGCTAATTAATTTTCAGCAGGTGGTGAGTTTTGCTGTGCAATTGATAGTTCCTTTTTCCATATGCATACAGCTACAGTGTAACATCATCATGTGCATACATGCCCATACATATTTTTAGTCCCATGGAAACAAAAATATACCATCCTTAGTTCCCTGTAAACCATCCTATTCTCTTGGTTTAATGGGCTCTTTTTAATTAATCCACCTCTTAGCCTCCTCAATTTCCATTCTCTCCATTTGAAAGGACTCACATTTCCTTTCTGGGAAACAAAGCAATATTCTACTGTAAGGATATCCAGAGCTGCTGAAAATGTCTTTATTCATGCATCTGCAAATTTCTTCTGATCTTTGGGGAAATGCAAGTCCTGGCTGTGTTCCCATCTGTGGGAGCTTGCTGGAGATTTTTACATAGCTCACTTTGGTCTGTCAAGAATATGACGATCCAGTGCCAAATTCATAATTGTGAAATTAATTTCTGGAAGTAGGTCAGGTTTGATTTCTCTATCACAGAATGGGAGTATGGGACAGAGTTGCTGGCTAAACTTTCCAAAGATATGTATTTTCCTGTGTTTACTTTTCTTTTCCCCTCTTCTTTATTTTTTCTTCTTTTCACCCATTATTCCATTTTGATTCTGTTTCTGCTTTGTCTCTTCCTTTCTTTTTGTTCTTTTCTCCTCTTCTAACCTTGCTTTAGTAATAGCACAGAGATTGAATAGTACAAAAGAAAACATTGTACTATTCATTATGTTTTCAAATCTGCAACATGAGAGTAATCATAATAGCATGTACTTGTACCCTTAAACTATCCCTGAAAGGACAAGAAAGTCTAGGAAAAACATATAGCAAGAGAATCTAGTGAGATCAGAAAAGTAGTCAAAGACTGCATAATATATAAGAAAAATATCATCTAAACTCAAAGTCTTCCTTATCTCATTTGTCTTTATATCATTTGTGTAAATTACTAAGCTTGTCTGAACTTCATGTCATTATTGAAGAAAGAAAAATAGTAAAACTATTTCATGGAGGGTTATTGTTACAAATAAAAATGAACTCATAAATGTGAAAACATATTATATATCTGACATTCAATACGTACTGGATAAATGTCAGTCTTCTCTTATGCCTCAAATAAAATTTCTAATATCTGTCTTGATTCTTCCCATTTTATACAAGTTCTCAGTATGTCTTCACCTGGTTAAATACGTAAATTCATTTGATTGGATGATTGTAAGCTTTCATAGGCACTTGAAGAAATTATCACATGACAAGTAAGGAGGTGCCATTCCCAGTCTGATAGGTTCTATTGAGTTTTGAGCAGGTACTAGGCCATTTATGTGTTGCAAGGCAGTCAGAAAACACAACAGAATGTGATTCAATGACATGATTGACGTGATGGGATATGTGAAATGTTCGCCAAATTAAAGCAATATTCCTCACTTTTCTCGAAGATTGGATAGGAACAATCCATTTCAGAAAATCTCCACTTCCTGAAGAAATGCTTTATCCGTTAGGGATATACCAAATGCACCAAATTGCAAGCCATTTGTTAAAACAGGGATTGAGGTACCAAGAAAGATGCAACTTGGAGACTTCTGGAGTTGTCTAGAACTTTCAGAAATAGTTATATTTCCTCATAGATACAAGATTGATACCTTAGTTCATGAGTTCTTTTGTTTGAAAACAATTTGGTTCACAAACAGAAGTGTTTGACAAAATTTTGTTTTTGTTTGCAATTGCTGCATTGGGTTACAAACATAACCACAGAAATCTTCCCAACATAAACACAGATGTGGCCATCTGTCTTCAAAACTGTAGAACAAATTAAGTGCATGGACTGAGTACCACTGTATATGGGCAAGCTAAGGTCCAGAGAGATAATTTTTATCCAAAACCAAAGAAATGGCAAGGTAAAGTTGGGGCTAGATGTCTAGAGTACAGATTTTCAGATGATAAATTGTTTTCCTTCTTTCCTTTTAACCTATTAAACAACCAGCAATAATTGAATTTGGAAACCTGCACCTATGTGATGACATGGTTTCAAGGATGTTATCCTACTGATAGATAATGTCTTTTTGATTACCACCCTCCCAAAAAAACTGCTCTTATCTGCCAACTGCTTCCTGAAAAGGCTTTCCTAGGATCTTGCTCTCCTATCCTCATCTAAGAATTGCATTTCCTTTAAATATTGGTCTCCTTAAGGAGAAAGATGATAGCTGAACTCTCAGAAAATTTGTTGAAAAAAAGTTTGGCTCAAGAAAAAGGGGACAGTACACTGGTACCAGGACCCAGACTTACACAAGCAAAGATCTGAAGTCTATGTAACGGTCCTGAAGAAAAGAAAGGCCTAATATATTGGATGTAAGACTCTTTATGAGACTCATTCGGGGTTCTTTTGTGAGTCTTCTTCCATCATCAGAGAGACAGATTTCAAATTCTGTGTAACATTTTTTTATTTTATGGAAAAATTCATAATAAAATAATATGAGACTAACAATAGTTAATACATTGTGTATAACTATCTTCAAATTATTTACTCTGTGCACATGATATGGGTGGAGAAAGTTTTCCAAATGATATTAGCACAAACTTTTACTTTTAATGAACTAAGATAAACTAGTAATATAACTATTTTGTATTTTTTCTTTTCCTCTTCCTTCTTTTATCCTTTCTCTCAGCCTAGTTCCTCTTTCCTTTTGAACAATTTCTTCCTATTTCACAATATCTATTGTACATTTTGGTCCTGACACTTTCAGTTTCTCACACCAAGGAGTAATGTTTACCCATGAGATTTATTTCACTTATGAGTGTGGTCTCAATTTGCATCTATTTACCTATAAAATTTTCAGATTTATCCTTCTTTAACGATAGCTAGTACTCAATTGTATAGAAAGACCATAATTTTTTTTTATCAATTCCTTGACTGATGGATATTTGGGTCGTTTCCAAGATTTAGCTATTATTAGTTACCCTGTGGACAAAGGATTAGATTCAATAATGAATAGTTACAAAATGTTCAAAAAGTTTACAAAATGTGAATGTCAGTATTTTTGTTATTATAATTATTTCAACATGTTTTTTAATCCACAGGAAAAAACAAACAGCTGATTCTGCTCTGTAGGACTCTTTTAGCTACGAAGCCATGATCTCTCAGAGCTGTCTAGCTGGCAGTCCCTTTAAAGGCCAGCCAGTTCAACTGTCTCATTGTACAGATGGGCTGTAGACACGGTGGTCAGGGAGGGGAAGATAATTCATTGTAAGATATTCAGTATTTCCTGAGCCTAAATTCTATAGGGTAAAGCCTCCAACTTATAGGTCTTCTTTAAGATCTGGAAGAACTCACAGGTTGGAAAAGAAACAAGACATGTGAAAATTCTCATGTCCTTTCTCCTCTCTCTCGTCCATGAACAAAAACACATGCAGCCAATTTAAGTTTAACATTTATATAATGTTTCCCCAATTCCCTGCCTTAAAAAATCCCAATTGAAACTGACATATTTGGAGAAGATAGAAAGTCACATTCTAAGTTGTCCTGGAAAATAAAAAAAAATTATTGTAGAAAGAATATTAAGTTTTATAAGCATCAACTTTCACATTAATGTTCTGTAGCCTGGGGAAAACTCTTCCCTCTTGTTTTATTTAATTTAGATAATTTTCTAAATTTGATTTTCTAGAGATTGACAGAACCCAAGGCTATAGTAACTTAAACTGAATCAACTACAGGAATATAGGTTGTTGAACCCATAAATAACATCAAACTGACAGCTATTTAGTCTTTCCCTGTAGGGAAATGAAACAAGCAGAGGTTCAGCATTAACCCTTGCATCCTATCTTGAGTCTCTTTTTATTTCCCAAGTATAGGTTCCTGAATTTATCTCACTTTTCAGGAATGTAAATAAGTATGGAAAAAGGCATACATAAATGATACTACAATGAGATAGTTGGATATATGTTTAACGTTAGCATTCCAAAAATAACTTAAATTGGGTTATATTCATTGTGTGTTAGCTCAAAACAGGGAAGACATCAAGGCCTATAAAATCAGTTGAAAGAGTTGGACTATTTAGCTTAGAGAATAGAAGAGTTAAAAGGGACATAGTGTGTTTCTTTAGACTTTGAAGAGCTGTCACAGAGAAAGAGAAACAGATATATTTTGTGGGACTCCAAGAAACAGAGATAGAGCCTTTGGATTGAAGTCACATAGAGTTGGATTTAGTTTAACACAAGTAACATTTAGAACTGCTCCTGGATATACTAGGTGGTCTGAAGAACTAATAAAGCCCCAGTAATTAGGAGTGTGTGAACATACAATGCTAAATACTTGTTAACAATGAATACTGGTATAGGTTGTTTCTAATGTTGCGTCTACCTCTTAGGCTACCTTCTTTCTTAAGGAACTACATATCATAACAGGAATTAAAGCCTGGAAAGGAATAGATTAGGTCTAATGGTGGAATTTCAAATGAAAGACAATAGATGTTGCAGAAGAATTTTGGAAGCACTAGAAGTCTTTTTGATATCTCTAAGATAAATGCACTAGAAATCATGCAGATGTTTCCCAACAGCGTACACTTTTCAATTTCTTCTGTCTCTTCTGTCCAAAGTTGAGAAAGCCTGAAGCATTAGCTAAGAACGTTCATAGGAACAACAGAGACTATCTTTCCTAGCGAGTTAAGCATTCAATATCACCCTTATACACTTTTGCCTATACACTCTGCCTGGAAGAGGCAGCCAGGTTCCCATTTGCTGTCTTACCACATGCAATCACTGTTAGGTGGCTCAGGAGCAGCAAGTCCAGTAAAATTCCCATTGTGGCCAGAGACACTTCTGTCCTTTCTTCCAACTAACTGCTGCCAAGAAGGTTTTTAACTCCTAGTGGCTGTCAGTGTTTGTGTCTGCTCATTTCTCTTCCTTCCCTAAGTCTCTCACTGGAACTCCTAACTCCATTGCACGTTTCCCCTTCCTTCCTTATTTCAGCATAAGTCATGTGGTGTTCCCCCCTACCCCGTTGCCTGAGGTTGGAGATTCAAAGGTCAGTGAAACAATTCCTCCCCTTGATAGGGTATGGCTTGATTCTGTGGAGCCCGTGGGACTCTCTAGCCTTTGATTATTCAGTTAGTTAATTTTAGGTCACCCCCTCAAGACTCAGAAGTTGGGGGCAAATTTTGAGTGAGTCAGCTCACTCCAGTATATGCACATTTTCCTTTCTTTTGGGCCCAGGAGGAAGTAAGCTTTTCTGGCCTATGCCATCATCATCAGTTGTTTGGTCAGTCCTTGTCTGCTCAGCTTATGGACAGTCTTGGCGGTGGGGCACATCTGGGCTTCTGAGTACAAGATCTTAGTAAGAGGGTTTTCTACATGTCAAAACTTAAATAACTGGCAAACCTATGGACAAAGGTGTTATGGAGGAACTTTCTTTATATCTCACAATGAAAAACCTCTAAATCACTTTCTCTAGTAGCTTCACCTCCTTGGTGGTAAGGAGACTACTTTCATTATGTTCTTTGTGCTCTTTCATAAGGTATTTTGATATCTTGTTTTAAGGGAAAGATACATCTTGCATTAAAAACAATGCAGTAGACCTTTGACTTGATAATAGAGGGTTCTATTAGATCATAACTTTTATTGACTTCCCACAGATACACATCTTGATCTACAAATGTGTGACATGAAATCCCATAGCAAAGCTCCACTGTCTAAAATCTTGCTCTTCTTTACAGTCCTCAGAATGACTGTAATTTCATCAGCAGTCTAGTTCTAGGTATGGCATTGCTTGTAGTAGACTAAGCTTTAAAAATAGAAGGAATTCTAAAAGGACAGATATGTCCAACAAATTGTTCATACACTGTAAATAGTGCCTAAAATTTGTTTCGTTTTGGTTGGAGGGATTTAAGAGGCCTTGGTTGGGGAGGTGAGCTTGGGCAGAGAGAAGTCACAGGACTATATAAAGAGACATACTCTCCAAGAGGTAATTGTGCACAGGTAAGTTGGGCCCCTGCAAGGGAGAAAAGTAACAACATTGTAATTAAATCTGAATACTGAGGTTTTAGTTTAGAAAAATAACTCATACTTTATCATCTTCTGTCTTAAATGAAAGACAAATGACACATGGGTACCATAGGATCAACTCCAGTAGCCCGAAAAAAAGAAATCATTATGGTTATAGAGGTACTTAAATAAGAGTAAAAAAAAAAAAAAAAAAAACTTTCATTTTTCCAAAAATAGAACTGCTAAATACCACCCTGATGTGCTTCCCTTGTAAGTTAGTGGCAATTTATATAATATTTCCAGATCTTCTCTGAATGTTGTGAAGAACATAGGGAATAATTGAGACATAATATATCATATGAAGTCTTGTTGATCATTTGAAGTATTTTAGCTTTTGCTTCAGGGCAAGAAGTGATTTGAAGGATATGATTAGGAAGATGGTGTAATCTTTTTTGTGTTTTGTGTTTTGTATTTGCATTGAATCTTTAAAATTTTATAAAGTTTATTGGTACAATTTAGATATACATAATGGTCACATTCATCACATGGAACTTGTACCTGCACATAGTATGTTTTGGTTTCTCTTTTTTAAATTTTAAAAACAAAAAAGAATTTAAAAAGATGCAGAATTTCAAAACAAAATAATAGGATATTAACATCCTTATAATATTAACATTAATATACTGTTTATTGCTATCTTAAAAATATTTTTTTCAGATTAAAAGATATATGAATGAACAAATAATCAGTCAAACAATGAAAACACAGACTTCCCTTTTCCTCTTCCACTCCTTCAATCCCTTTCTCTTCCTTATTTACAAAACTTTGCTTCTATCTTATCCTTTTTTCTCATTTTTTCTTTGTCTCTTCCTCCCCAATTCCCCTTTCCTTTTAAACAATTTCCTCTTATTTCACAATACCTATTATATATTTTGGTTCTTACCTACACTTTCCGTTTCTCACAGCAGAGAAACAATGCAGTATTTACACACATATGTGTTTTATTTCACTAAAAAGAGAGTGTGATTTCAAGGTGTGTCCAATTTTTTGTTAGTATGTGTGTATCTTAATGTTTGCATTTGTATGTGATATATATATATATATATATATATATATATATATATACAGTAATTGGTTTTTTAACCTCTTTCCCTTCACTCTGTTACCCTTCTATGCATCTTTTGGTCAGCTTCCCTTTTTGTACATTCTTGGATTATGTAATATTTAGTTTCTGTGTTTTGTAGTTGGCCAGACATGTACACAACAAATCTTAATTCTTTTTTTCATTCTATGTCCTCCCCCATTTTTTATTCCCTTCCCCACTGAGAAAGATCAATGTCTTTCCTTACTTCATATAATTGATCTTTTACGTTTTGCTTCATTTATATTTTAGGTTTTTCATACTAGTTGTGTATCTGATTTATTTAACTTAATATTATGCTTTCAAGATGCATTCATTTTCTTACAAATTATTCATGTTTATCTTTCTTTCTGGAAGACAGTACACCATTTTTATGATTTGTGTCTAGATGCCTCCCCACTCCTACAAAGCATTATGCAGTCACAGGGACAGGCTTCTAGTGTTTGTGATTGATTCATGATTCAAAGCTGGGATTAAGAATGTGAGTGCTAGACCCACCCTATGGTAGGTAATTTGCATACAATATAAGGGACAGAAAGATGCATGTCTCTCTCTCTCTCTTTCCTTGCTTTTGCTGTTTCTCACCAATCTGAAGAGTTGTGCCTCTGCCATGCCCATTGCTTTAGAGCCATACAATCATAGATTGAAACCTGTACAAACTGTGAGCTAAATAAGTTTTTCTTCCCTTAATTTTGGGTGTTAGATATTTTGTCTAGCAATTAGAAAATAACTAAGACATAATTTGGTACCAGGAATGGAGTCATTGTTGCGACTATACCGTGCAGTTCAAGAACATTTGGGAATGGCTTGTGGGAAGACAGTGGAAAGGTTTGGAGTTGGTGGTTGAAAAAGTAGAGCTAAAACACCTTAGGCTGTTCTGCATGGGAGTTTCTGGTCAGAACTCAGAAGAAAATACCAACAGAAATCCAGCAGGTAAAGAATAGATTTGGGAGTTTTCTATTGGAAAGAAATATTTCATCGGTTGTTGGACTTCAGATGATGTATGTTTCGGCTTGGCAGTAAGTTTGTCAACAGTTTGCCTCTGTCCATAGACTGTCTGAGACTGACACTAGGGGCAGCAGACTAATTAATTTGGCAGAAGTTTCAAGGCAGTCTAATGTTGAGGCAGTGGCACAGTTATTATTGGGGTATTTTAGTCAGATTTATATTGAGAAGCAAGCATAAAGGGCCCAGCAGAGTGATTTAAAACAATGGGAGTTTGTCCATATAGGAACCTCCAGCAAATCTGTGGACTGCAAAGATAGAGCAGAGGAGATCTTGATTGTTGAGAAAGAACAAAGAAAAATAAATAAATAAAAAAGATGACATGTGAGTATTACAAGAAGAAGCAGGACCCCAAACCTTGTGGCTTCAAAATTGCAAAATCAAAAGACTGCTTTAAGAAGAAAACCATGTAGCACAATGTTGGAGAATGGTGGCATCTCAGTCAACTTGTTCCTGAGAATTGAATCCAGAGTAGCCACAATTCAAGGACTCAACCCTTACAGTCAAGAGACAGGGAAGCCTAGCTACTGTTCCAGCTGGCACAGATCTTGGCATCATCCATATGGCAGTGGTTTTAGGGGTATACAGAACGATGAGTTGTGGGTTCAAAAGGTTTCTACCTAGATTTCAGAAGACCAAGGATCCCAGGAAGTGTGCCTTTGAGAGGGCAGTGCATGAAGAATTAGGGCAAGTATGAAGCCAAAGATGTAGTGGAGACTCCAGAAGTTTGAAAAAAGCCAGGAACATGGATCGTCTGAGGAAAACTGCAAGGAGGGAGGAGAACAGGCCCAAGAAAGAAGCCATGAGAGCTACAACCATGTAAAGAACTATAGAATTGGAGATATCCAAGCCCTTTGGAGTTCACTTTTTGCCAAACATTGCCTTGGATGCTGCACTAAGACAGGACTTAATGTTTCCTTGCTGAACTTTGCACTTGCTGTGGTCCCATATCTTTGTATCTCCTTCTTTGTAACTTTTGGAATGAAAATGAATGTCTTATGCCTTTGAATGTTGGAATTGTTTAACCTTTTCATTTGTACAGTAGCTCATAGCTAAAAAAGTTTGCCACAGATCTCAGAAAAGTCCTGGGACTTGGAACTGTAAGCAGCAACGAAACTATTAGGACTTTGGCAAATCTTATAGATGGACTGCATGCCTTTCGTTTAAAGGAATGTACCTAAGTATTTAGGAGAAAAGGGCTGAAATGTTACTGTTTGTGTCTAGATACACCCCAAAGCTTCACACAGTGATGAGGGAGGCTTTTAGAGTTTGTGATTGATACATGGTCCAAATCTGGGATTAAGGCTGTGAGTGCTATACTTCCCTGGGTCAGGTAGCTTGCATATAATATAAAGGACAAACAGAGGCTTGTCTTTCTCTTGATCACATTCTCTTGTTGTTTCTGCTGTCTTCCACCACCATAATCCCTCTGCCATGCTACCTTGCAGCAGGTTATAGTCTGAAAATTGTACACTCTGCGTTAATAAACATTTCCTCTCTTAATTTTTGGGTTAGGTATTTTGTTTTAGCAACAAGAGAAACAAGACAATAATTTTTCTCAGATACCATTTTTCTCTCTATCTATTCAAACTAACTTTCATAGTTGTTGTACTTTCCCACAAGTGTGTTTTCTGGGATGACATGGAATCTCAGTGTTGTTTCAATTTGCATTTCTTTAGTGGCCAGCAATGAGGAGCATTTTTTCATGTATTTAGTTTTCAGTTTTACTTCTGTGAAGTATCTGTTCATTTCACCTACCCATTTTTATTGGATCTTTTATGTTTGGGATTGTATATTTTTTTGAGTTATTTAATATAT